CACACCACCCCCCAACACCCCACACCCAACACACACACACACACACACACACACGGCTACCACTAGGTGACTCTGGCTCATGGTGACCCCCACATAGGACAGGAGAGAACGGTGGTCCACAGAGCTTCTCTGGCTGCCCACGGGAGGAGATCTCCTGGCCTTTATTCCTCAGAACCACTGAGTGGATTTGAACTACCCACTTCTCAGTTGGCGACATGTCAGGGTGGTGACCCCGTGTGATATGGAGAGCTGCCCGGGGGTTTTACTGGCTGTTCTAGGTGGTTCCTTTCCTGCTCCAGGCGTTTTCTTTAGGAGGTGTGACACTGAGTCGGAACCGACTCCTAACGGACCCCATAATGGGTTTTTAGAGGCTGTAAATCACACGGAAGGCGACTGTCCAATTTCTCCTCAGGAGCAGCTGGTGAACTTGAACCGAATGCCACTGGGTTGGTAGTACAATTCCTTACCCTCTAGACCACCAGCACTCCCATGCGGTAGATGGGGAGCTCTAAGCCCACCACCCCATCATAATCTCGGCACATCTTCTGGTGGATCTAAACCCAAGGGCTGGCTTGTCTGGCAACCAAACCGTTTCAGAGTGGACAGGAATTCAGAGAAGCCAGAAAAATGCTCAGTATCTCTGGAATCTGTAAGGAGGACGCTATCCTAACAGTGCGCTCCCAGCTTTATTAAAGATCACACTTGTTTCACCCCAATTGTGTATAAAGTATTCCTCATTACATCCCTGTAAGCGTGCTCTGATTGAGGCCATCGGGAACCCCCCCCCACTGCACCTCTGTAAGTGTGTTCTGGTGGAGGCCACCAGGCATGCCCCCTCTCCCATGCACCCCTGTAAGCCTGTTCTGGTGGAGGCCATCAGGCACTCCTCTTACTGCACCCCCATAAGTGAGTTCTGGTTGAGGCCATTGGTGCGTCCCCGTTCCCACCGCACCCCTGTAAGCGTGTTCTAGTGGAGGCCATCACTGTTCCCCCCACTGCACCCCTGTAAGTTTACTCTGGTTGAAGCTGTCACCGCCCTGCTCTCACCTGGATGATATTCTCCTGCATGTCCAAGATGATCAGGTTCGCTTCTGTAGCCAGGTTGCCACTGATCAAGGCCTCTTGATCTAGCTCTGCCTTAGTTCTGAGAAACAAAAAGAAACCAAGGCAAATGCACGTCAAATTGAACGTATTCCAGCAGCAACAATCTTAGCACCAACGTGAGAAGATGCTTCTGAAATAGTCGGCTCTGAATGAAAGCAGAGCAGCTGGTGCCTTCTGTGACTGGAGTGTCCAGTTGAAAAGACGGCTGAGCTAACGTCCTCGGGCCACCATCAATCTCACCATGACTGACAGATGACCACTGTAGACACAAGGCCGGATGGAGGAGCCATCAGGCCAGACCACCAGGTTGTTGGGCCCCCACTGCCCACTGAATAAATAAACAAGCCAGACATGTGGTCATCCATCCACTCTTACTCACAGCAACCTGGGGGGACAGAGGGGAACTGCCCCACGGGGTTGCGAGGCTGCCCATCCTTTTGGAAACTGACTGTCCTCTCTCAATCTTGTGAAGGGGCTGGTGGGTCAGAAACTTTCAGTGAGTAGCCAAGCACTTAAACACTGCACAACCAGGGCTTCCTATCAGGCGCACAACACCTGAGCTCAAATTGGGCAACAAAAATGGGAGACATGCACTGTCAACTCAGATCACTCGCTTTTAGTCTCCATGTCTAAATTGTTGCATGTATATCTATGTATGTACAGAACCATCCATCCATCCACCCACCCATCCACCCACCCAGCCATCCAACCATCCATCCATCACCCATCCACCCATCCATCCATCCACCCATCCATCCATCCATCCATCCCCCATCCATCCATCCATCCATCCATCCA